TAATATAAATAAATAAAAATATTGTTGCGTATAAGTTCCGCATATGTAAAATGAAGTTTCCATAGTAAATGAACAGCTTAAAACAAAAATAAAAAAGATTAAGTGTGTTTGTCTTGATGATTAAATAATTGAAAATTTATAATTGAGCTTATGTTGTATTATAGCAGGATATGAAAATTGACTTGAACATATATTAAAAGCTGCATTTTATACCATATGTTATCACAAAAACAAAAAGTGCATTTGATAACAATTATTTGATCAAATCTATGCTTGCATAATTGTTGTTTAAATAGAAATGTTGGCGCGCAATTTGACTGCGCGTGAAGTTGGCTGCGCGCAAATTTCAGCTCAAGTGAAGTTGGCTGCAAAACGAACAGTGTTCACTTAACGTTGGCTGCGGAACTAAATATATTCATATTGTAGAACTAGCCAAGAGGGAGTTTTTAATTATTCCAACTATTTAACCATCATAAAAAGAGAAACATAAATTTTAAAACATTGCATTTATTCTTAGAAAACAAAAATTAGTAAATAGCTATAGAACAAGTTGGCAGCTATTGTGCTATGGTCACACTCGAATAGGCTCAAAGCCAATCGATACATAACGTCTATCGTGCTATCGACTTAAGCCGTTTTTTGTTTTCGATGACAGTTGCACTTCAGAAGTCAAATCGTGAAGACGTGCGGAGCGCGTGTGCTTAATATTTGTTTTCTAACTAAACGTTAGAGTTAAGATACATTTTAATTAATGACTCTAAACCAAAACATGAGAAAGTTTTTGCAATACTAACAACGAAATTAATACACTCCAATAAACGACTGATACATTAACCAGCGCGAACTGTAAAAACTTAAAAAAATCAAAGCAGGCCAAGAAGAAGAGGAAGAAGCCAAAACAACGCGACATCGACACCTGTTTGCCTGCATTCCTGAACCTGTGCAACACTGTGCGTTTCGGTGTTTGTGTGCGTGTATGTGCATGTGTATGCGTAATATTAGAGAATATTAACTTCCAAGCGAATTCTATTTTTTAAACAGTGTTTAAATAATTATCAATTTGTTTGGCCACTACTGCAATTGCAACATTTTGCAGCCGCCGCGCCTGCGCAGAAGAAACAACAGCAGAAACATAAACACAAACATAAACGAAAACCGGTTAGAGTGAGACAAGAAGACCGCACGCACACAGTTGCAAACTGCTCACACACACACGGATAGTTTGTATTCGTTTTTTGTTTGCTTTTGCTTGGAAAATAGAAATAGAAGGAAACACACAAAAATCCCAACAGAAAAAGAAAAAAGAAAAAGAAGAAATAATCAATTGCAAGTGGTGAAAAGTGTGACGATACACAAAGAAAACAAAAAGCCAATTCACACGAAATAAGAAATTAGAAATAATAATTGTGCTGTGCGCGGAAATTGGGTAGCAGCAAAAAATAAAAAATAAAATAATAATACCAAATTTGTTCAAAATATGTATGCATAAGGGTTAATGCCCAAACGCCTTATCGTTGAACAAATCAATGGCCGCGCGTATAACGAAAGTGAATTAAGGTCCCAAAATAATTGTAACGGCGATTTCCCAACCAGTTTCGAGAGGTTCGCCCTTATCTGGAACGCGAAGCCACTTGTTGTCCGAATTGGTGAGTAATAGCCTTAATATTTTTTATTGTTTGGCTCTAATCTCTTTACCTGGTCTTGTGGAATGTCCCTCGCGGAGTCTTTTATCTTTGTAAGGCATTAACTTCCCCCCCAATGGATCATTGACCAACATTTGAACTGGCTCCGCGCGAACCAAAAAAACATTTCAACTTTCACTGAATTGCGCGCCAAAATTGAATTCGATTTGCGCAAATTTGATAGCAAATTCCAAATTTGATATGCAATCGAGTTTTCTCTTGTAAATCAAATTTATTTCATGTATCTGCTTTTATTTGGTGGCTTTTCATTTTGTCGCTGTTGTTGTAGTCGTTGTTGTTGGGTTTTGTTTATTATTATTGTTTTCGTTTGGGGCTGATGTAACCAAAGGCTGATTGCCGAACCGATTTGCAGCTTCATTAAGCTCAACTCGCCTCAAATTGAGTGTAAGGCGAGGCGAAGCTGATTATGAGATAATCAGCAAATTGCTCAACACAATTGCGGAACACGCTGCAAGTCATGAGAGAAAGAGCTTTAGCTGTTACCCATTTCCTCGGCTCACAGGCGGACAAGTAAAGCGTAATTGTTCAACATTAAATAAGACTAATTAAAAACTCTGCCTAAAAAGTTCAAGAAACTCATGCGGCTAGTTAAGGAATGTAGTAAGTACATCCACTTAGTAATTGCATCTAAAATTTGGTAGGCTTATAAAGTTACAATCAAATATATGACTTTAAGATAAGCTTAATTAATTTTGGTATTTAGGCTTCAAATAGTGCTCTAAAAATTTATTTAAAAGTTTTACTGAATCGATAAATATTAGTTTTCAGTCTATATTGTTAATATAGTTATATCTTAGAGCTCTTAAAATTTATATAAAATTAAAATTTTTTATAAAGAATAAATATAAATGTAAAAGATCGTTAAATATATAAATTCAGTTGACGTATAAAATAATTTTTTGTATACATATGACTTAAACATTTTTCGCACAGTTAATCACACAGTTAATATTAGCTGCGCTTTCGTCTTAGTAACTCCGGCTAAGCCAAAACTAACCGCAATTTGCTTGCAATTGAATTTGAACCATGACTCATGGCAGTTGCTCCATTCATTCAAATGCTTAGCTGCATAAATGAATACAAACTGGAAAACAAAATTCCAACTTCAATAGCCCAAATATTCCCACCAAAAAAAAAAAAAAAAAAAACAAGAAAAAAAAAAAAAAAAGCTGCAGAAATAAACAAATAGCAGCAGCAGCAGCATTTTTAAGCCAAGCCGTCAACAACAACTTTATGAAAACCAGCAACAACAACAACTTGATACAAACTATGCAAAAAGTTATATAAAAAACACGTTAAGCATCGATGTGTATGTGTCTGTGTGTGTGTGTGGCAACAGTGGTGTGCAGTGGAGCTGGGCGAGGCGGTGAGGTGGAGACACATGACGCTCACTTTGAGCCACGCTTCAATTGCAAATGCGCCAGCAAGCAAAAAGCATTGACGCAGCTACCAGATATTGTTGTTGTTGTTGTTGCTGCTGTTGTTGTTGTAATTGTAAATTCTACAGGTTTCGCTTACGCTGTCTGTGTAGCAGTTGTTGCCTTAATGGCGCACAACAACAACAGCAACAACTATAACAACAACAATGCAATTTTACGCCAGAGCTAAAAAGGCGATCGAATCGAAGCAATCGTCGATCAAAGCTCCTCCAATCGTAGGCAAACCGGGCCAAAAGCCAGACAGCATCCGATTTGCAGGCACTGTGGCCACAAACCAGATATACAAGCGCAATGACATAAGCAGCTTTGAAATCCTTAAAGGATTTCCTATAATTGATTATAGTTGATAGAGTAGAGTGGATAGTTGTTTCCGGAAAATTGTTTTCACGGCGGATTATATCCATTGGAACTATTGTTGTAGCTGCTCAAAGCTAATAACTATTATTTATAAACAGTCAATAATTATATAAACTTTATGCTTCAGTAAGCGAAATATGTATAATCAAAAGATAATTTAAAGCTCTAATAAGGCTAACACCTATCAAAGTCCTACAAATCTATACAAATATATTTATATATAGCAAATTTATAAAT